ATTAGGGGCGATGAAGTTCATTTTTGTATTGATGGGGGGCGGTCCTCAGATGAGCCCTTGGTCTGCAGTGGTGATGGCATTTTCCAGGTTCAGTAAGCATCGTCTTTGCAGAGGGGTTGGTAATCCTGTAATATAAGCTGATTAAAGGTTTGGTTAGAAATTTTTTGCATTTGGGCTGATTGCTATGTTTACATAGGGTGGCTGAATTAATAGCATTTTTTGGTACATATGTGTAGGCAGCAAAGCAACCTGTAGGGCAAAGGGAATCCTTGATGGTGCAATCTTTTGGACAGTCTGAAAGAGAAAAAAAGGGCTGGTGTTGGGAAAATAGGTCTGGTGAGAGAGTAAGTGTTGAGACCAGGGTTAACAATCCTGAAGCATGACGCCCGGCAGTTATATTGGAGGTCTTAGGACTCCGTGCTGGCAGACACTTCTTCAGTGATGAGTGGAAGTGGAGATGAGCATCGCGAAATGCAGAGAGTAAGAGGTCCCATCAGGGTGGAATAGGAACCAAATCGAAGGTCAGTGTTGCGTGAGAAGACGAATGACCGGGAAGTGGATGGTGAGCCCGTGGAGGAGGATCGGGCAGTGAGGGTTCCCAAAGCAGCTCAGGTTCCCGGAGGAAGAGCAAAGTCAATGGAAGAGCCTCATCCGAAGTCACAGCACCAATGAAAGGGTATCTCGCCGTGACCCTCCTTACCCAGAACGACTCAGGAGACACAGGCCCACGCAAGAGATTTTATTATCTGAAGGAGAAAGTGGCTTCCCCAGAGGGAGGGGAGAGAGGGAGAGAGAGAGAGAGAGAGAGAGGGAGAGAGAGAGGGAGAGATAGCAGGGGGACAGAGAGAGAGAGACAAAGAGAGAGAGACAGAGAGAGAGAGGGCAGCAGCATGGTACCTTTTATTGTGTTGGTACTCTTTTTTTTATAAAGCCATCTGTTACTTCCAATTACGGAATGCATTTGAGGAAAAATGTTGGTTTGATAAATGTTTTAACTGTTATAATATTGGATTCATGCTAAAGACTCATTTTCATTTTGGAATTAAGCACTCCTTTGTTTCAGTAATTTTGATTCCTATTAATTACTGTTTCTTTGTTTTAAAGTGCATATTATTTAGGAGTTTAGCTGGGGCCAGTAATTCCAACTCTCTAATAAATTGTGAATGTACTGCTCTATCTCCTAGTTGATAGCTGTTTGCAGGAGTGGTCCAGTCTGAATGAAGACTTTTCCCTCATTTTCTCCCCAATGATGGACAGTTTGCACCTGCCTCCCACCAGCTAGACTGCAAACAAAATATGTTCTTTGCAGCTTCAATCAAAATGTGTGTTTTAACCTAGAAATGATGTTCAGTAAAGTTCTTTAGCTTAAGGAAAATATTTTGTGCTCTTAAAATTTTTGTGTTACTTAAAAATAACTCTCATATGCTCAAGTCATGTTCATCACATTCAGAGATTTTCAAAAGAGTTTTTCTGTGACAGTAGTAGTAAGATGCAGGAAGACTATTAGACTCTTTATCTGCATTCTCCCATTGGAAGCCAAAATAAGATTCCAATGGGGGAGGAAGGATATTTTATTTAAACTTGAATCATGTTATAGCTGTTTGCATCCTGGGTTTATTTTGCTGTCTCCATACCTCTTATGTGTATGTCTGTGTCAACCATCTCAGAGGATAATAGCTAGAAGGCAGGGTCCTGGTTGATGTCATTCTTTGTACAGACCCCAAAACAATGAAGCCCTTGTTAAATGCTAGTGTATGTGATTCCAGAATTTTCAGACTGAGCTGTCACTTGAGATGCTTATGGCTTCTTGAACTGAGAATCTTGGGATACTTCATTAATTGAGGTAGTAGAGCTTAAGGCTAACGCTTAGATGCCAAACAAAAATTTGCCTGATTTCAGAGGTAATTTTTGACTAACTTACTCTTACCAATTTCGTTATATTCATGTATCTTAGAATATCAACTAAACAATGGGAAAAAATATTTACTCCTTCCTTCCTTCCTAGACCAATTAGTAAATTCCCATTTATTTGAACCTTTTCATAATCTCTCCTATTTATGAATGTGCCCATTTTATTGATGAAGACATTGTTCAACAATATTGATAAACCATCCACATTCATACTGCTCATATATAGCAGAACCCAGATATGAATTGAAGTCTATATATCTTTAATGTTACAGCTGGTTTTTTATTTTATTTTATTTTATTTTATTTTATTTTATTTTATTTTATTTTATTTTATTTTATTTTATATTTTATTTTATTTTATTATTTTATTTTATTTATTTATTTTATTTTATTTATTTTTGTTGTTTTTTTTTTTACCACATTGGAATGTATAGTCTTGGGGGTACACTAAGTGCCTTTTCCCCTATAGGAAAATCTTCATGGAAATCTGTATTATCACTGAAAGTATTTCAAATCAAACTGAGAGAGATAAGCTGAACCATCTAAAACAGGTCTACTGTAATTAAATAACTTAGGTTACTTTATTCCACCAAGGGGATATATCTACCAAAGGAATCCAGTGCCTGGCTTCATAAATTAGAGTACCCTTTCACCTGTGCAGTATTTGAGATACTCAGAAAAAATTTTCCTCTTTGTGCTCTTCCTTTTTGTTAAGCCAGTTGTTCTTTAGAAAGAACACAATATTGCCAACTAGATGAAGAGGGACGTTGCTGAGACTCTGAAAATTGCAGAGTGAAGGAGCCTGAGTCCTTAATAGTATCACTGAGCCACTGAATCTGCCTTGGTGCTACTTATCTCCAAACTACTTAATAAGAAAACAAAAAGTTAAATTCATGGTTTATACCACTGTTAGTCAAGTTTTCTGTGATTGACAGCTCAGAATTTTCCTAACTAATATATTGGACTTTATGAAAGTGCAGAAGTGCACATTTCTAAATGTGTTAAATACAAACACTTAGAAAATCACATTTGTGATGGTTTTGCATTGCTTACTCTTTTGCTTGGCCCATAAAATCAGGTTTAAGGCTAAGGGAGAAAATTCCAAGTAGTAGAGTTTTTTCCAGTATCTAAAAATACTTTTATATCTAGAATGTGCTGTTACAAGAGGAAGTGATGTTTCCAAATATCCAAAGCAAACGACAAAGAAGAACAAAGCTGGGGGCACCACTTGTCCTGATTTCAAAACCTATTACCAAGCTATAGTAATCAAAACAGTATGGTGCTGGCATAAAAAGAAGACACATAGATCAATAGCACAGAATAGAGAGCCCTGAAATAAATCTATGCGTATATGGTCAGTGAATTTACAACAAAGGAGTAAAGAATATACAGTGGATCAAAGATGGTCTCTTCAGTAGTGTTGGAAAAACTGACAGCCAGATGCAAAAGAATGAAACTGGTCTCTTTCTTATACCATACACAAAATCAACTTAAAATGGATTAAAGACCTGAAATTAAGATAATGAAAACATAAAACTCCAAGAAGAAAACATAAGGGGAGAAGCTTTTTGATATCAGTCTTGACAACGATTTTTTTTTGACACCAAAACTAAGGCAAAAAAAGCAAAAAATAAACACATAAGACTACCTCAATTCAAGAAGTTTCTATATAGCAAAGGAAACCATCAACAAAATGAAAAGGTAACCTACAGAATGGGAGAAAATAATTGCAATTCATGTATCTGATAAGGGTTTAATATCCAAAATACATAAAGAACTCATAGAATTCAATAGCAAAAAAAATGAGCAATATGATTAAAAAATGGGCAAAGGATCTAAATAGATATTTTTCCAAAGAAGACATACAAATAGCCAACAGGTATGTGCAATGGGGTTCAACATCACTAATCAGGGAAAAGTAGGTCAAAGTCACAATGAGACTACCTCACTCTTGTTAGAATAGCCGTTATCAAGAAAAAGATAACAAGTGTTAGCCAGGGTATCGAGAAAAGGGAACCCTTGTGCACTGTTGGCTGGAATGAAATTAGTCCATCCACTATGGGAAACAGTATGAATATTTCTCAAAAAATTAAAAATAGAATTACCATTTGACCCAGCACTCCCACCTCTGGGTATATATTCCAAAGAATTGAAATCAGGATCTCAAAGAGATACTGCATTCCTATGTAAGCTGCATTATTTGCAACACCCAAGATACGGAAACAATCTAAATGTCTCTCAGTGGATGAATGGACCTTTCATATAGTAGGATATTATTCAGTCTTTAAAAAGAATGAAACCTTGAGTTTGCAGCAACATGATAGGCTTGGGCATCTTTACACTAAGTGAAATAAGCCAGACACAGAAAAACAAATAAATATGCATGATCCTACTTTAAATGAGGAATCTAAAATAGTCAAACTCATGGAACCAGAGAAGAATGGTGGTTGCCAGGGACTAATGCGAGGGGAAAATGGGAAGGTGTCAGTCAGAGGGTACAAATTTTCAGTTATGAAAGATGAATAAGCTCTGGAGATGTAGTGCATAGCATAGCACCTATAGTTCATACTGCATTATAAATATGCTAAGAGGATAAATCTCATGTTAAGTGCTCTTACCACAAAATTAAGAAATGTTAACAAATAACGGGGTGGGAGGAAACTTTTGGAGGTGATGGATAAGTTTATGGCTTTGATTGGGGTGATGGATTCATAGTATATATACATCTGCAAACTCATCAAGCTATTAAACATGGACAGCTTTTTGTATGTCAATTATATCTCAATAAAATGGTTTAAAAAGAAAATCAGAAGAGCTTCTCTGGTCCTCCAGAGGCCCATCTGAGTTCCCACTGCTCAACTACCCTCTCATTTCACTCTTCTTCTGCCAGCCCCTGAGCAACTGGAGAATACAGGTTGAAAAGTTCTCTTGTCTGTTACCAAGGTCTTTCTAATTGGAACCTTTTATGATTTGACTACAGGGTGAGCACAGAATCTTAGCAGGAAGAGGATCACAGAATTCACACCCACCTAGAGGAGGCAATCTGAAGTGTGGTTTTTTCCCCCCTCTATTGTTGGATTAATACTGATTGAAACTATCATCCCAACTGACCCATGAAAGTAAAGAAGTTTTATCAAAGAGCCATTAAATATGTGGATTCTATTTGTTTACTTCTTAGGCCTCATCCAAATTTGAATATGTGGCTGCTTTGAATGTCAGATTTCAGATGGTTCTGCTAAACTGCCGCTCTCTTTTTACAAATGTTCAGACACAAAAGTGTTTGCCCACTTTTCACATAATGAGGCTTTTAGGCCCAATACAAATGATGCTATTCTTACACTGGGGAAAAATAACCTGCTCACATCCCTTCTTTGTGTCTGACCTGGCACTTGCCCTCTTCCTGAATGTGTGCCTTGAAGTAAATATGTAAAGTAAAAATAGGAATTCTATTCCTAAAGAGATTTCTTTATGCTTGTTTTATATCAGTTTCTTACTCCACTTGCAAGTTAAAGTCATAAAATGAATAGACATGGCCTTTATTAAGCTTTGAAAATCTGGTGTGTTTCTATGTGAATATCATTTCATCTGCAGCATTTGAATTCGAAAAATCCTTTGTGTGATTTCAACAACCTTTTGTCCAGATAGTTAAATGCACTGACAGAGCCTTTTGACAGAGCTACAGAAAATTCACTGCTGAATACTTAATTAGTTCCTAAATTGGCTTGCTTCCACTTTTCCTTTCTTCAATCCTACGTTGCTAGACTACCAGATTTTTTTTATTTGTTACTCTGAGAGTTTAAGACTACGTAACTTTTGGCATATAGTCTATATATTATGTTCATCACACACATTCACTTTTTATATACACACACATTGGCGTATGTTGAAATTTATGCTAATACTTTTGAAAAATAGGTTTATGTTTTTACTAATATGTTTCTTTACATTTGATAGTTCAATTCTTAATTACCTTACATCATAGGATTATTATATCTTTGAATATTAACAGAAATCTATATTGATTTGATCCTATTTCTAGGGATCAAATAGAATAAAACTATTGCCCAATGAAGAATTTATTGAAAATTGCTCTCAAACATACTAAGTAAAGAATGATGGAGGAAAGCCAGTGACATTCTAAATCCTCTATCTCTTTTTCTGGTACTTCACAGCAGAAACTGTTCCTGGCATACTTTATATACCCAGAAAGGCAATAAACATCTTCTGTGAGTCCTCATCCATTTGACGTCTGGAGCAGTGGAATAGAACTCAACTGGTTGACTGATCCCTCCTTTTCCACCTACTAAGGTAATCAGATCAACTACATGTTTTCTCATTGTGATGTCTATATAAATAGGCTTCCCTTGAGTATTGGGGATCTTTTGAAGAAGGGTCTGATCTTGCTAAAGTTCCTTACTATTAGACATGGGAAATGCTGCTGGCCATTATAATACTCCAAATTATTTCTTTGGATCTTAATTTTAACATGCAGAGAGCAAGTCACTTTTGTTTAAACAGGGATTGAATTTAGAGAAACATTGCTCTGAGAGACACAACATGCACGGCAACATTATGATGTATTCAGCCAGATATATGCGAGACAGAAAATCACATGACTGAACAAGCCACGTGAATGTTCTTTAATGAGAAAAAAAATAGAAAAGAACAAACAAGCATATGTCAGATATTTCCTTTTTTGCAGCTTGTTATTCCAAATCATACAGATGCCTTATGTTTGTAATTTGTCGATGATGACTTTGCCCCTCATGTATATTATACTTGGATCTACTATAATTTTGGTCTTACAATATTACTCTATTTATGTCTACTTAACTATATGGTTGCATGTGAATGCAGCATCCAGGGCTCCCCAAGTAACTTTTAGGGCAGTTGTTAGGATAGAGTGTGAAATTATTCTTTGCTGCTCATAGCAACTGTATATGGATAGCATTTACTCTCTTGGGATCCTGGATCATATAATTAAAAAGTACATACACTTGACAATCCTGAGCAATCCTGGAATCATTCATTAATTTCCCTTTTTTCTTCTGTGTTGGCAAGCCACTGGCAGTATGTCAGTAAGTGTTCACTAAGTGACCACAGTGTAGATCATCATTTCTCAGCCATACAAGAATGACGGGGTTCCTCCAGGGATGTCCTTACCTGAAGATAAGGGATTGGAGCACTTTTCAGGAAAGGGAAGGACAATCCCAAGTGGGGAAAATGGTCTTGGATTTACAGTCACTTCACTCTATTTTTAACAACCCAGTCACTTCTCTGGTGGCTGCTGCCCCACACAGCCTCTGGCATGTGGTAGCTATCCAGTGCATAATTGCTCAATGAAAGAATGAATTCAGTCTCAAGGGCATCCATCTCATTTTCTCTGCAGCTACACCATTGGCATGGCAACAGCCCAGTCAGCACATTATTTAAATAATTATTTTCTTTTCTTCCTTATGCTAGTTTCCATAAGGCATCAGTCTATATAATTTTTAGTCCTTCATCACTATTAAGTTTTGTGCATATACTCCCTAAGTAAGTATTTTATAAAATATCATGTTATGTTAGAAAACATATTTAATAAGCAAAAGAATGAGATTGAGGAAGTTAGTAGAAGTTCTAATATTTTTAATTCCCACATTCTAGTAAATTTTCTTGCTTGCTTTCCCTGTCTCCATTCTGGAGACCTGGCAATAAGGAGTGAAAGAAGACATGATGTAGTCCGTGCTTTGGGGAGTTTATGTCTTACCTGGTAAACCAGATGAATACAATGAAGTACAATGTTAGGTGCTTTATGGCATACTACAAGAGAGTCCCTGAATAGAATTTTCCTGAAAACACAGATTTTAAAACCTATTTCACTGTGACCTTTGATTTGTAGTAGGATATTTTTTATGTTGAAGTGAGTTCAAGAACACTTAGAACTTTTCAGTAGCTATGCTTTATTCTCTTGGAATCACCTACCATTAATGTTAAAAGCAACTTTTTTCACTTTAAAGTGTTCCTTTTTCATCTTTCCTGCCAAATCTGTCCATTTAAAATTGGCTTTCTAAATTTTGACTCCGAGGAAGGGATAGCATATGGAGCAGGTGTTCTTTAGATGCTTCCTAGAGGTTCATTTACTTCAGGCATGCGGAATGATGCAGCAATATATTTACAGATCACAAACATAAGCCCAGTGATTCTGAAAATACTTCAATCAACTCAATTTTCTAGTCCTTTAATTTAGTTGCTGATATTATAGGAAATATTCTTTTACTTTGATGAATACATCTCTCTTCAGTGCCCTTTGTCTCTCACTATGTAGTGGTTCAATCCATTTTCCTTATTCTCACTTCTCATGCTCTATGATCTTAGGTCATATGTATCTCTTTTCAGCACAATATGGTCCCCAAAATGGAGGAAAAGATCAATCATTTAGAGAAAAACATAAATATCCACATAAAGCAGATTCATCTTCATTTGTGGAACAATCCACTTTTAAGAAATGGCTTCAAAACAAATTCCTTCCAAGTTGTTAGAGTGAGTCAGATATATTTGCAGGGAGATAATGATGTAACATTTATCTACTCATTTGTGCTATAATCTGGCTATTTAAAAGAATTATGTTAACAGGATTGTGGCTTGCATAGAATCCAGGGGAAAAACGAACCTAAAAGCTAAGATTGGTGAGTATGTCTCTAGGAGCAGTTATCCTGGGTACTCAAGACAGTATAAAAGGTATAGTTGTCATAGTAAATGAATATGTTGGCATTCTGGTTTATAAATTCATCTCCTGTGAGTTTGACTAATGTGAGTTAGGTCACCTAGCAACATTAACTCTGTACCCACATACAGAGGGCTAGAACTGGAATCATGATGAATCTATAAAACCACCACACAGTAAGTTCTGCCTGAGGCACCATCTGGCCCTCTGACATTGATGTCTAACCTCGGTAGTAATCCCAACTCTCTGTCTACATTGATTTCCATAGTGAGTATATTGTGAAATTAATTTGTTTTACAGATTTGTTTGTCTCTTTGAATAATTACAATGGGTCTATCATGTATTAGTTATGTAATGCTATCTGTTCTAAGTCACAAATCTTAAAATTCTAGTCATTTAACATGATAAACTCTTTCTTTTGGTTCATGTGTAACAATCCAGGGCAGCTGTTCCCGGTGGGGAGGTGGAGTGTTTTGCCCCATTCAGTTATACAGGGTCCAAGGAGATGTGGGAGCTGCCTCCCAGGTCTCCTTAGGTGTTGACATCTTCTAGGGAAGGAGAATGGGTGGGGAAGGCTGACCTGCTTCTTAACCGCCCCAGCAGGGCAGTGATATACATCACTGCTGCTCCGATTTCACTGGGCAAGTCAGTCACATGCCCACATGTAGGCAAGTGGAGGGGGGGATTAGGAAATGTAGTCTCTGGTGGGGCTGCCACTTCCCCAACAACTCTCCAATAAGGGAAGAGGATGTGAAACCTTGATGAGCAGCTAGCCTTCTCTGCCACAATCCATGGCTTGCTGGAATGCCCAAAGGACAAGGGATTTGTTAATATAATCATAAAAATCCTTGGCTTTGCTAAGTAAACTTTTGATGCACTGTTTTATGCTTAAGAACAAAGTTTAAGTTATGAAGCACAGTGTTTAGATTGCTTTTAGTATACAAAGCAATGTATAGATCTGACAAGTAACTGCCTAATTTCATTGGTATAGACAACTGACTCGAATAGACTTAACATGGATTTTTAATCAGAATTAGCCTAGGTTTATTTTACTACAACCTTAAACAGATAAATAAAATGAACTCTTCCCTAGTTTTATATTACATAAACACAATGTCAGTGAGCTTTTCTTTCTTTCCAAAATTGTTTCTAGTTGTTTGGAAGAAAACAAGTTTGAGACATTCTGGATGTATAACAGCAGAAAAGAACCTCAGACATTTATTTTATAGTTTTGGGATCTGTTCACAGAAATATTCATTGGTGTGGAAAGAGATTCTATGTGATGTATCAAGTTACAGAAAATATCACTCAAAGTTAAATATATATATTCCTTAGCACATCGTACTCTAGAAACAGGGAAATATTTACTGGGCAAGAGATGGACTGAAGTAAATATTGAAGTTACTTTCCCATAAAAGGACTTGAATTCTGTTTTAATATGTAATCTGGAGTGTGCTGTCTTTTTGTTAATATATTTTTTTCCCTTGCAGGTGCTTTGACTATTAATTCTATGGTCAATGATACAAAAGGAAAATGTAAAACCAAACAAAATATTTAAGAACCAACTTATGGTTGCACCTGTCTTTTTTTGTTTTATTTTATTAATTTTGAATAACATTTTTTGTTCTTATAAACTGGATTTCTATCAGTCCTTTTTAGTAGATCTTATGGTTAAAGCTTTGAACTGAAATGTGACCAGTTTGGTCAGGGAGAAGAGTCTTTCTCCAAGAAAGAATGATGTCACATCTAATCAACAAGCAGGATGAGTGTTGTGAGTTCAGGGTTTGAGTGGTGAGGATGGGTTATAGAGTGTGAGAGGATAGCTTATAAGATCTAGCTGGATGTTTTATTAATTTACAGTTAGCAAGGGGGCTTGGGTGTGGCCTAGAATAATGATGTTAAAGCAATCAGGGAAGATTCTGGGGCTGCTTCCTTCTCCTCTGTATGTATTGAACAACTAGAGTTTGGATAGGGATGCAATGATAGTGACAGTCGGCAGTGATTAAGTACCTACTCTGTGCTAGGCATTGTGTTGGAAGATTAAAATAATACTTTCACTGAATTTAAGAATGACCTTGTAAAAAAGGCTTTATTATTCCCATTTTGTAGATGTGGACCCTGAAATTCAAGGAGGTTAAGTGGTTTGCTCAAGGCCATGTCATTATTTTCAGGTGTGTCAGGGCTCAAGCCACTTGTGTTCAACACAAGAAAAGGGAGTCCTTGCCCTTTTCTCTAGGCTAAACCTCCTCTCCCAGTGAGGTATCCACAAAAACTTTTTGGATCCTCAGACAAGTTTATCTTCACACTTTTGCAGACTTGGACCTCCCCCTTGCTCTGACATTAGCGACTGCCCCAGGCCCTAGCATTTCACTGCACACCCGTAGCAATTATTTATTACTTGGAGATTTGCAGCCTGAGGCTGGTTTACCAGAACTGTTTTGAACAAAAACAAAAGGAACTCTTTTCTGGTTGTTCCAGGAATCTTTGATTCTGTGATCCACAGGGACTCTGTCTTCTATAGGAAACGTGGAGGAAGAGTACACACAGATGAAAGGCCTTTTCCATGCCAGTGGCCTTGCTTGTTTTGTATGAGTGTAACTTT